GGAGGGTGAGGGGTGGGGGGGGGGGCAGCCCAGGCCGGTGATGACAGGGGTCTCAGGAGAAACAGAGGCAGAGTGAAGACAAATACGATGGAGATGTGCTCCCCGGCACACACTTCTGGAGGGGTCAGAAGGGTTGAGATGATTCCGATGACGGGAGTATTACTTCCTGGCCTCCCTTGAAGGGATTCCGAGGGATCTGTCTGAAGTGGACTCCAAGAGGAATTGTCTCCCCAAAGACAGGAAGTGGGCAAGAATGCCATACTTCCGCTTGATGAATCACCTCCTCTGAAGGAATACCAGCTGTCCTTCCCATGCGCTCCCTGGCTGTCATGCGACGCGCAAAATGTTGGATAATCGGGAATATTCTCCCAGACACGTCCTCGTCAAATGACAGATGACACCCCAGTCGGAACGCGGCAGCTGCAGACTTGCTCTTCCTCGTCTCGGTCTTAGCATAGCACGGTAGCGTCGTTGACGTGCTGCAGACGGATTGCCTGTCAGGTCAAAACCTCCACTGGGGGCTTCCGTGTAACATCTGAGGATCCGTCCAGTTTTCGGCGGGCAGTTCTGGAGGAGTCATCTTCAATGCACGCATTTCTGGTTGGGCTATGTTTAAACCTGCACAGGTGCTTTCAAAAACATACTTTTTCGAACTCCAGGGTTAAAAAAATCAGAACCCGCGCTTTGAAGAAACAGGTGAACAAAACCATTTATTCCACATGACGGTTTGACATTTCGGTCCAGATTTTAGCAAGGATCATGCAAGTTGACGTACATGTTTTGCTTTCGCGGGCCAAGTAAAATGACGTCACGGGCCGGATCTGGCCCCCGGGGCCTTGACTTTGACACCACTGTCTGAGAAAGTCAAGAAGATTGCTACAGAGCACTAAACTATGAAGCGCTGAGTATGTGTGCTGATTACTCATTAAACTTATTGACAATTTGTCACTTCTTTTCTCTTCTCCCCGGTGGACCACAGGCAACAGTATCCTTCACTCGGCCGCAGACAGCGTGACCAGCGCCGTGCAGAAGGCCAGCCAGGCTCTGAACGAGCGGGGCGAGCGACTGGGCCGGGCTGAGGAGAGGACCGCCGACATGATGAACAGCGCCGAACAGTTTGCCGTCACTGCACACAAGGTGGGGGGGCCCGCACTCGTTTGATGTGAGGTAAAATGGGCAAAGTGGGGACCGACTGCTCCTGTGAATTGATGAATATCAGAGAGAGAGAAACACAGTCTGCTTTCTTTTCTGCACATGAACAGATTAGATGTTGTTATTCCAGGCAATACATTTGATGCGCAAGGGTGTATATATATTTTTGTTACGGCATTAATGATGATGACTACCTCACTGCTTCCACATAATGTCTCCCGTTTCCCCTCATTTACACTTGGGATGCTCCCTTGCCTTCCGTTCATTCCGTATCTCTCATCCAAGTACGTCGCATGCTGTTCAGTTTAGCGATTAGCATGCTAGATGATGGAAAAACCCAATTTGCGATGTGGCTGATTACGACGGTTGCACCGCAGTTGTCTGTCTAATAGCGCAATGCATCACACGCCACCCAGGCAGACCCCGCTTGCACTTTGGCAGGCTTCGTTGCTCGCATTTGCATTAACCGCCGATGCTTGACTCTTGAGTTGTACTGCAGAAGCCATCCAAATGACCTTTATGCAGTTTTTGTGTTGTTTTTGTGTGTGTGTGTGTGTGTGTGTTTGGAACATCATTAGGGACGGGTGGTGGCCAGCTCAACAAGAAAAAATTAGGGCTGAGCGGTAAAATCTCAAGGTGTTTCTTGGGGTTGTCTCCAAAAATCTTATTTCAGATCCTCCATACTTATAGAGCGAGCAAATGACATCACATTATTCAAAACACGTTTTGCTCTTTGATTTATTTCCCATCTGGGATTTCCTTCATTTCTCCTGATGCAAAACAGGCTTTGAAACTTGCATCAACCTCCACAGCAATGTGCAAAAAAAAAAATGCACAATTTTCCTTTTCATATATGTACCAGTCGGTATATGTTAAAACATTTGTAAATACAAACACAGTCCCTTTATTAATTTAAAATGTTCAACAATTAACAGTGCATCCGAAAAGTATTCACATTACTTTAAATGAATGAAAATTAAAACTCAGTAATCACTTGCATTGCAAATGTATTTTACGTGTCTTTAAAATTCTGAACCTGGATATACATTTATGAAAGAAAATCTTGGATTAGATGAGTGCACAGTGGCCACTCCTGGTCTTACATTGTCTCGTGTACGAGAGCTCCACATTTTCTCCCATTGGGACAAGACATCTGCGAGGAAGTCGTTTTCCTCCTCCATTTTGCCACTGTGCTTCCCACACTTGTGCGCTTGGCTTGATGAGTCTTTTCCCCGCTTGCTCGTGGCAGTCTGGCTTCCCCGCTGCGCGTTGAACGGCGGCTGTCGCGCAATCTCCCGTCAAGCCTCGTTTGCAGGTGTCCCCAATCTGCCTCCCCCCGGCACGAAGCACTTCACTCTCCGATGATATTTTAACTTTGTGTCTTCGACTTTCTTATATTCGGCCACGTAGCGTGAGACGCGTGCAGGCAAATCGGGAGGGGGGGGGGGTCACGTTTGACGCTTCTCTTTCTATAATTCCAATATCGAAGAAGAGTCATCAAGAATACTCATTCCTGTGTGATGATCTACCGCCCCCCTCTGTCAAGGTTTAGCATTGCACCCTGCGTTCACCCTGTGTGTGTGTATATGAGTCAGAGGCGGGGCTAAGTGTCAAGTCCCAAGTTACTGTGGCCAAAAATCAAGTTAAATTAAGTCCCCACAAAGAGGCACGTCATTGTTTGAAGCAAGCAAGCCGTAAATCAAGCCGTGCAGGCTCGCTCAGTCACAATATATCACATTGTGG